TATATATCATATGCTGAAGTACATTTCTGGAGTGTTAAAGATTAAAAGAAAAAATAACAAGAACCGTACAGAACCGAAAACCGTGACCCTAAAACCGTGATACAAACCGAACCGTGGGTTTTGTGAACCGTGCCACCCCTACTGCCTATGATACGTATCATACCCCAAAAAAACGAGTACTGTTGCATTTTCAGAATTTTGATTTTGAAAGGCATCGTAAATATCAGTTCTGGTGACATTCCTATTTTATATAAATTCCTTATTTAATCCATGGTTTCCAAACTGACAAGTGGAGACCTAACATGTGACTTTCTGTTACCGGTAGTTTACATTTACAAACTACCCTTTCATCTGCAGAAGGCTGAGTCCCTTCGCATGCAGTACCGATACCTAGATCTCAGGTCTTCCCAAATGCAGTACAACTTAAGACTACGCTCTCAAATAGTAATGAAAATAAGGGAATATCTTACCAATATACACGGTATGTTTCTTTTTTTCAGTTTGACTGTATAGTTTCTCCCTTTTTCTCCTCCATGACACATGATTGATTATTTGTGTTTGAATTTTAGGATTTGTTGATGTTGAAACACCCACTTTATTCAAACGGACGCCAGGGGTAGGTGATACCCATTTCAGTTACAGACATAAAGCTACTGTGGCTTGTTTTTTATGATTGCTGTGTGAATATTTTGTGCATAAATTTTGCACTGTTTTATGAAGTTCTGTATTTTGTTCTTTCTTTTTTTCCCTTGTCTGTGATGAGCCTTTGTCTATGTTTTACTGTACTTTTCAGGGTGCAAAGGAGTTTCTGGTCCCTTCAAGAGAACCTGGCCGATTCTACTGCCTGCCTCAGAGCCCTCAACAATTCAAACAACTCCTTATGGTGGCTGGCATTGATAGGTAACAAAATAAAAAACCACAAAGAACCATCTTTTCTTCGTTTCATTCTGTACACTTTATTTTCGTTTAAATAATCATTCATTTTGACTGGAGTCCTTCGTTAGTTTGAGTCATGTAAAACATAATGAATATAATTGACAGACGTTTTAGCTATTGGGGTTTTTTACTGTGGTGTTGCTTTTGCATTGTCAGGAATCTGAATTGTAGTATCTCATCTATCAGTAGGATCAACCTGATCCTCTTCACATTTGGTTGGGATTTTTTTTCTGCTTTTTTATGTAGGGCCTGTGATTTCTGTGATGTGGAATCATGAGACTGAAGCATGAAGGCAACATTTACTTTTAAACTCAGAATTGTGTGGAATTTGTGGATATTGTGTTGTCATTTTAATGGGAACCTACTATCCCCTGGTTATCCCCCTTTCCTTTAGTGTGTTGATATACCAGTATATGCGTGTAAACGGACTGAAGTCTTAAGGCCCAAGGGACATGCCAAAGCGAGTAGCTCTCACCACAGAAACCACTGTTCTCTTATCTGCCTGAAGTACCTTGTTGGAATTCCAGCCCTTATTTCCATGACAGGGTGCCATCACCTTGGAACAGAATCCTTATTGACCGCCTACCTGCAAGGATCTGTTTGCAGACTACAAGACAAGGGTGGAACTTGTAGGGAAAACTGACCAATCAGAGGTTACTGCACTCAGGGGGTGGGGCTTAAAGCTCTAGCAATGTTTCAGACTGTGAATAGAGATGTACAGTATGAGAAAAATAATGTGTTTTTGGAAAATTGAAGCTTGTAAATCAATTCTAATAAAAAATAAAATCATGAAAAGTAAAAATGAGCATAATAGATCTCCTTTAAACCTATGAATGTTTTTACATTTTGAGATTGTTCCAATAGCATAAAAATACCCTTGCAGTTGGCATAGCCAGAGATTATTTAAGAGGAAGGACTCTGCCATAGCCAAATCTGGCCAAATGACTGCAAGGATGTTGCCTAGTAACAATAAGGCTTGTTTCCACCTCAGGAACTTGGGGCAATTTCTAATTTGCTTGAGTATTTACAGGAAGACCCCCCCCCCCCCTAATCAGTGTGATGCACTTTCACTTCTGTAAGCTAAGGGTATCTGAATGATTTTTGCCTTTAAGTTAGTTATTTTTGTTCGCACACACACCAGGATGTGCTGGAATGTATTCAGCTGCCAAGATAAGAATGAGAGGAGGCCATTCGGCCCATCGAGCTCACTTGGGGAGAACTTGACTAATAGCTCAGAGTTGTTAAAATCTTATCTAGCTCTGATTTAAAGGAACCCAAGGATTCAGCTTGCACTACATTATCAGGAAGACTATTCCATACTCTGACTACACGCTGTGTAAAGAAGTGCTTCCTTAAATCCAGTTTGAAATGTTCTCCCGCTAATTTCCACCTATGGCCACGAGTTCTTGTATTTGAACTAATGCTGAAGTAACTATTTGGTTGAACAGCATCCAAACCTGTTAGAATCTTATACACCTGGATCATGTCCCCCCTCAGTCTCCTTTGCTTGAGGCTGAACAGATTTAGCTCAACTAACCTTTCCTCGTGTGACATTCCTCTAAGACCAGGAATCATTCTTGTGGCCCTACGCTGCACCTTTTCTAAGGCCATAATGTCCTTTTTAAGATATGGTGACCAAACCTGCACACAATATTCTAGGTGAGGTCTCACCAAGGAATTGTATAATCTTAGCATTACCTCCCTTGACTTAAACTCCACACACCTGGAGATATACCCCAACATCCTATTGGCCTTTTTTATTGCTTCCCCGCACTGGTGAGAATGAGACATGGAAGCATCAACATACACACCAAGGTCTTTCTCATAATCAGCTGCCTTTATTTCAGTAGGTCTCATAAAATACCTGTACTTTACAGTCAAATATAGTCTTATTGACCCCTCGAATGAACCCCACACTTGTTCTGTACAAACTGCTCAGCAGATGCCTTGACCTTGATGAAAGAACTCTCTTGCTGCGAAGCAAAGCAACAGGCATGTAGCAACCAATAAGATAACTGCCAATAATGTAATAACTGGCCAGTTATTTATTCATTTTCTGACTGAATAACATAATATTTTTTGCTGATAATGTAAGAAGGTATTGTATTATTGGTCAGTTAATGTTATTTACTTTCATTACATTAAGACCTAAAATCTATGAATTTATTAGAAAGTTATTTGCGTGTTATTAAATTATTGGTAATTATTACATTATTGGGTGCTACAAGGTAGAAAAATGCAAGATTTAACGTTCTACAAAGTTTAGATAATAATGTATCAAGCCTGAGCTGCTGTTTGACTCCACTTGAAAGCTCATAGTTGTCCTGAGGAATTGTTCATCTGTGCTCACTGCCTCAGCACTTCCCCCCCCCCAACGGCACCTCCCACCCCCCCTTGAAAGTCAAGTTAATTTTATTTAATTTTATTTTCTATATAGCGCCAGATCACAACAGAACAGATCACGAGCGTGCGTCGGAAAATATGTCGCGTCAACCACTTCAAAAGCAGACAAAAATATCTGCGTTTTTGTTTTTTTGACTGCTATCATTAAAAGAAATAAATGCACACCATGAATCCTGTCGGTGTCCATCTGACCCCCCCCCCCAAAAAAAAAGCTGTAAACCTTGGGGAAATTTTGATAGAAAAGAGTAGTTCCTTGCAGAGCTTGACTGCTATAGCTTCCCTTGACTTTGCATCAAAACCCAGTCTCTGGCTGAAATTTCTACAACACCAGTTATATAGAAATTGATATCATATCAGTCAAATACCTTTCATAAAAAGAAGGTGTTTAACCAATATGATTATGTCAGTTTCTTAAACTGAAATAAGCAGCATAAACTTGTGAACTTATAAAATAAAATAAATTACTTTGTCGTTAAGTACTTGTGTGGCAGAATGCAATATTTCCTTGTCGATCTGGAGTGGTTGGGAAAAATAAAACTATTTGAATCAGAATAGCTGTTTCCATTTTTTGGTTGTAGTTTTTTTCCGTTGAAGCAGACATCTGTTTACCTAATTTTCCTGTTTGTCAAAGAAAATATTTGGTCCAATTGATTGATTTTATCTGAATTTTTCAGGTACTTTCAGGTGGCTCGCTGCTACAGAGATGAAGGTTCCAAACCAGACCGGCAACCTGAATTCACACAGGTAGGAAAATGGCTTTGTAAAGGAAGGATGTATTGAACTGATTGCCAATGTAACTCTGCCTAGTCTGACTGTCACAAACTTTAACTTCTCCTTGTGGGTTTCTGTCTTTTTTGTAGGTTGACATTGAGATGTCCTTTGTGAACCAAGCTGGCATACAAGCCCTAATTGAAGGTCTGATCCAGCACTTCTGGCCAAATGAATTGAGGTCAATTTCCACTCCATTTCCTATTATGACTTACGAGGAAGCTATGAGTGTCTTTGGGGTGGACAAACCAGACGTCCGATTTGGAATGCAGGTTAATTTTAAAAATTACTTGTGCGTGCAAGCTATTGGTGAAGAAAATTTGTATCAGGGCTAGGAAAATTTTAAGGTGTTAACTTTGAGTTCTTGTAAAAGCTCTATATAAATAAAAAGTATTGTTATTATTATTATTATGTAATATAAATTTTAAGAACTAATTATTGATTTGATCACGTTATACTAGGTGCTATTAATCAGAAAATTGTTTTTTATATATATAAAATTGAGTCACAACCCTAGTAATTAATCATCATTCATTTGAAAATTCCAGTCTAAAAACATCTAGGATAAGAATATTGTATATGTTTCTTATTCCTCTTTAAAAATAGTTGGTGAATATCAGTGAGGTGTTTTCCAGCATAGAAGTGGAATTTCTGAGAGATATTGTCCACCGGCCAGGGGGGTGTGTCCAGGCCATCCGTGTCCCAGGTGGAACAGTATGTACAAGAAGGGACAGGGTCTAAGTGAAAGTGATGAAGTATGTCAGTGAGAAGCTTATTTGTGCAAGCTAACATATTTCTATTGTCAGAGACATTTGAAGAACAAGGATTTGGAATCCCTAAAACATCTGGCCAAGATCCACTTCAACCAGGTTTGTGTTTATAAAAGACAGTTTTGGGATGACTTGTGTTTTTTTCCCCATCTTCTTGGTTTAATTGTTGCAAATGCTACATATCTAATGCAGGAGTGGAGTACCACTGAGCAAGCAGAGCTACACAGCAAATGAAAGGATATATATTTACATAAGAACATAAGAAATTTACAAACGAGAGGAGGCCATTCGGCCCATCAAGCTCGTTTGGGGAGAACTTAACTAATAGCTCAGAGTTGTTAAAATCTTATCTAGCTCTGATTTAAAGGAACCCATGGTTTTAGCTTCCGCTACACTAGCAGGAATACTATTCCATACTCTAACTACACGCTGTGTAAAGAAGTGCTTCCTCAAATTTGTTTTAAAATGTTCTCCCTCTAATTTCCACTTATGGCCACGAGTTCTAGTATTTAGACTAATATTGAAATAGTCATTTGGCTGAACAGCATCCAGACCCGTTAGAATCTTATAGACCTGAATCATATCCCCCCTTAGTCTCCTTTGCTCAAGGCTAAACAGATTCAGTTCCGCTAACCTCTCCTCATAAGACATTCCTCTAAGACCAGGAATCATTCTCGTAGCTCTTCGTTGCACCTTTTCTAAGGCAGCAATGTCCTTCTTGAGGTATGGTGACCAAACCTGCACACAGTATTCTAGGTGGGGTCTTACCAAGGAATTATATAAGTGTAACATCACCTCCCTTGACTTAAACTCCACACACCTAGAGATATAACCCAACATTCTGTTCGCTTTTTTTATTGCTTCCCCACACTGGCGAGAGTGGGACATGGAAGCATCAACATACATACCGAGATCTTTCTCGTAATCAGCTACCTTTATTTCAGTGGAACCCATAAAATATCTGTACTTTATATTTCTGCTCCCTGCATGGATTACCTTACATTTATCTGTGTTAAATTTCATCTGCCAAGTATCAGCCCATTCGCTATTTAAATCCAGATCCCGTTGAAGCCTCTGCTGCTAGATCAGTATCTGCTACACCGCCCACCTTGGTGTCGTCTGCATTTGAAGGGTTTAACCATCACAAAATATCTTAACTGATCATTTAGAGAATAAAGCATTTTGAATAATTAATACCAAAAATTCAGCACAGCAATGCCATAAAGGTGTAAATTTTTTCCCCCACAGACGGTGAATGTGGTGGTGCTGAAGGACGATGGCACATGGAGATCTTCCATAGCAAAACTTTTACCTGATTCTGCCAAGCAACATCTCCTCCAGTTGACTGCAGCAAAACCTGGAGACGTGTTAATATTAGCTTCTGGATTATTGCAAGATGTGGTGAGTAACATTTGGTCGAGCCTTTATTGCAGGAAAGATTTGCAAGATTGACTGCATGGTGGTGCAGTGGCTAGCACTGTTGCCTCACACCATATTTGGATTTTATGTGTCCTCCCTGTGTTGGGGAGTCCAAAAACATGCTGTGTGTGTGTGTCTGTGTGTGTGTGTTAGGGGTGTAACAGTACACTAGGGTGCATCAAACCCCCCAAGTGAAAAATATTTTCATGGCTATATAAAAAAAATGTTCTATCTGTACTAAAAACACACTGTGCAAAATAATTTGAAATTTGGATAAGTTCTACTGGGTCCACAACAGCCATGAAATTCTGAAATAACGGCAATAATTCATACTTTGGAATAGTTATACTGCAAGCATTAATGATTTTATGTTTTAGTATTTAAAGTGGTTAATAGTGGATATCGATGGCACCGGGGAAAAACCGCGTATCCAACAATTTGTCAATTTTACAGGGGAACGTTTTTTCTAAATGGTGGAAGTAAAACCAGTGTTAATTTTGACAGCAGATTTCAATTTAGCTTTAGTCATAGTCTTTTGACTAAAATGCAATT